CCACGAAATCATCGCCACGCCTGAAAATAGTTTTTCGTCTTTTTAGACAATGAATGATGGACAAAAAAGAAGTTCTATGATCAGGCATAAATTCAAGTCCTCTGATTTTAGTTAACAATGCTCTGTGTACGGCGAGCCATGTGTATTTTGTGATATCCTTTTGCTGAATTTAGAAAAGATTGTGTTTTGGTGGTTTCAGGTTACAGCGAGGATGCCGGATTGCACCATGTAAGCGATTCAGACTACTACATCGAGCTGGTCCAAGTTTATCAAGCCGCATCATGTGCTCTTCAAACGCTTCTAGGAAGAAGGTGATATTTTTAATAACGCATATGTGCAAGCATGCTAGATTGATGTCGCAGTAATTGGTTTGAGTTGAGGCATTTCTTGAAGACAAATGCAAGGATGATTTATTGCTGTTGGAACTACAGTGTTGGATTTGGTCTGTTGTCTGTTTGGCATGTATTGCTAGGATCCTAAGGTGAACTCTCAGCTCATTTGTTTGTTGTTATTTGCTGGGACCTATTTTAACTAGGTGAAATACTTGGGTTACCACTTTCATTTATTTTCTTCCTGTTGTTATGCATGTACTCCCTCTGTAAAGAAATATAAGATCGTTTATAGATCACTAAAGGGAGTAACATCTAATACAAGATAGTAGCTTCCTCCACCATCAACTATTACTTGATCACAAGCGCCATCCACAACGGGATAGCCCTATCACTCTTGGTCCTCGAAAGGAGAAAGAGGATGATCCCAACTAGGTAACTAGATTCTTTTATGGAGGTGGTAACTACATGAGTTCATCATGTTTGAACTGATTATTGTGCACATGTTGCTATATTATGACAAAATAGATAGTCAAGGTCTGCACCTATTTCTCCAGGAAAATACCAATCTTGATATACATACCCATCATACCTTTTTACAAAAATGGGCGGGCGTGGCAAGGTGCGCCATCATGTTCTAGTGTGAACAATATTGATAAGCATGGAGTTGATCAGGACCAACCATACTAGTACTTTCTTTCTTTCTTTTGCAAGGGGGAAGAAGTTGCTGCTTGCTAGCTGTCATTTTTATGTAGGCTACTGTCCATAATAATGGGGACAGCAACAGCCCTCAGTCAAGAGTCAAGACCGGCAAGATCATTATCAGGTAAACTTCGTGGAGCATAGAAATCCTTGCCTTCTTGACTTTTCTCATCCATGGGTCCTATATAGGAACTGCATATCACGCAATTGGCAGTTCGACACAGGCAGCAAGGCATAGCTCTTCTTCACAAACCTGCAGCAGCAGGAAACAAAAGGTATGTAATTCACCCAGCTTTACTTCATGTAGCAGAACTCCTTGTGACCATCTGTGGAAAGCACGCGCAATCTTGCAGTTGCAATCTTTTAGCACACGCACAACCACGAAAAGATCTTGTTCTACATCATTGTGCCATCATGTTTTTCTATTGTCACCATACGGGAGCTAGCAAATGGATCTAGTAGAAACTGAAAGCAATTCACCAAGTATACGCAGGAGCAGCATATATTCCTATTTTTGCCGGTTGTGGTTTCTTTTTTTATTACGGATTTATACGTACCGAATCTTAATAAATATAGCTCCGAGCATCATAATGATGTGGACGCCAGGGATTATCCTCATTTTTCAGAAAAAAAATATTCCTAGGAGCACGGTTCATGGAAGAGAGAGAAATTGGAAACCATATAAGGTACTATATATATTATGAGAAGATCTTAGACCAGTAGAACGCTGGATTCAAAGAACACAATCTTAGAACCCTCGTAAAACAGTGCTAGATTCTCGTAAAGAGAGAGCCACCCATAAAAATGAACTGAGGAAACTCTCTCTCTCTCTCCCTCCCTCCCTCCCTCCCTCCCTCTCTCTCTCTATGTGTATAGCTCACAGTTCCTTCATTTTTTTTATAGTGTGAACGATGCTTCCTGTTCTTCTGCTGCTTCTCTTATCACAGCCCGCATCGAGTTCATCTGTCCAGGCAACAACAAGGACATTCAGAAACAGGACTGACGGGGATGCCTTGCTGGAACTGAAGGCAAGCCTAAGCAATCACCAGGGACAGGGAGTCCTAGATGCATGGAACACAACTAGTGACTTCTGCCGGTGGCCTGGTGTCAGTTGCAGCCTTAAGCATAAGGACAGGGTAACGGTTCTTAATCTCTCCTCAGAGGGCCTTGCAGGCACAATCACACCTTCCATTGGGAACCTCACGTTCCTGAAAGTTCTAAACCTCAGCCGGAACAGTTTGGGCGGTGAGATACCTTCATCGACTGGTCGCCTGTCTCGGTTACGATATCTTGACTTGTCCAAGAACTCACTTCATGGCGCCATGCACGCCGACTTGAAGAACTGCACCAGTCTCAAGGGCATCAACCTCGGCTCAAACCGGCTCACCGGAGAAATCCAATCTTGGCTAGGAGGCTTGCCGAGCCTCCGGGCCATAACCCTGCAGAAGAACAACTTCACTGGGATTATCCCGCTATCACTGACCAACCTCTCATCGTTATACAGGATAGAGTGCTCCTGGAACCAGCTTGAGGGTACCATCCCTGAGGGCCTTGGCAGGCTCGGTAGTCTTGCGTTTGTGGCCTTTGATTTGAACCGCCTCTCAGGCACCGTCCCCTCAACTTTCTTCAACCATTCCTCTCTAATCGGCTTGAGTTTGGCGGTAAATGAATTGCACGGCACACTGCCCTCTGACTTTGGGAATAGCCTACCAAATCTGCAGTACTTGCTCCTTGACGCCAACCACTTCACAGGAAGCATTCCAGCCTCTCTAGCCAATTCAACCATGCTCTACTTTGTAGACATCTCCTTTAACAACTTCGCTGGACGTGTGCCACCAGAGATCGGGAAGCTTTGCCCACACATGCTCTCTCTCTCAACAAATCAGCTCAAGGCAACTAGTGCTGAAGGCTGGCAGTTCATGACGCACTTGACAAACTGCACACGCCTCCGTTACCTTGACCTTCAGGGCAACATGCTCGGCGGCGTGCTGCCGAGCTCTGTTGCCAATCTATCAGCACATCTAGAAATCCTTTACCTTGGATTCAATGAGATTACTGGAACAATACCACAAGGCATTACTGAACTTGTAGGGTTAAGTCTGTTGCAGCTCTCTAATAACCGTTTTACCGGTGAATTGCCTGGCAGCATTGGAAGGCTAAATTTGCTAGAGGCCTTGTGGTTTGAAAATAACCGACTGAAAGGGTCCCTGCCATTCTCCCTTGGGAACTTGACGCGGCTAGCAAGTCTTTACGCAGAGGGCAACAACTTTGAGGGGCGTCTTCCAACAAGCCTAGGGAGCCTCCAGGAGATTACTACAGCCAATTTTTCAAACAATATGTTCACAGGTCCATTGCCTATCTTCCCTGACAAACGCCCTGGATTTGTCAGATAATTATTTTGTTGGTACACTTCCACCAGAAGTTGGCCTCCTCACAAAAGTTGCATACATGTACATCTCCAACAACAACCTGTCAGGGCCCCTGCCCGATGCACTGAGCAATTGCCAAAGCTTGATACACCTCCGGTTGGACCGTAACTCCATCAATAGTAGCATTCCTGCTTCTGTGAGCAAAATGCAAGGCTTGATATTGCTAAACCTTACCAAAAACACACTCTCCGGTATGATTCCTCGAGAGCTAGGACTCATGGATGGCATTCAAGAATTGCATCTCGCACACAACAACCTGTCTGGTCATATCACTGAAAGCTTTGGGAACATGACATCGTTGTATCGGTTAGACCTGTCTTTCAACCGTCTTGACGGCAGAGTTCCATCACAGGGTGTGTTCAGTAACGTGACAGGGTTTTCCTTTGAAGGGAACTCGGGCCTCTGTGGTGGCGTCTCAGAATTACATTTGCCCCTATGCCCGCCGGAATCCATGGAACATGGTCTAAGGAAACGTCATTTGCTGATGAAAGTAGTTATTCCAATTGCTGCTGGCATCATTATAGGCTCGAGTCTGATTCTTGTTTTCTTCACAATAAGAAAGAAACCAAAAGCTCAATCTGCAACCACTAGGGGATTCCAATTGGCAGATGACAATTATCCTAGAGTTTCTTATGCTGGATTGGTCCAAGGAACAAATTGCTTTGCCACAGACAATTTGATTGGTAGAGGAAGGTATGGATCTGTGTATAAGTGCGGTTTGCTGCTAAAAAATACGATGACCACAGTTGCTGTGAAGATTTTTGATCTTCAACAATCTGGCTCCTCCAAAAGCTTTCTAGCTGAGTGTGAGGCACTTAGTAAGATATGCCATCGTAATTTGGTCAGTGTCATCACTTGCTGCTCAAGCTTGGACTCAAACCAAAACGACTTCAAAGCCATTGTGTTTGAGCTCATGCCTAATGGGAACCTAGATAAGTGGCTGCATCCGGATGTACATGCATCGCAGCAGCTGCAGGGCTTGACAATGGTGCAGAGGTTAAATATTGCCGTTGATGTTGCTGATGCACTAGATTACTTGCACAACTGCGAACCTCCAGTTGTTCACTGTGATTTGAAGCCAGGCAACATTCTTCTTGATACGTATTTAGTTGCTCACATTGGGGACTTTGGCCTTGCAAAGATTCTCTCGGATCCAGAAGGGGAGCAACCAATCAATTCAAAGAGCTCTATCGGAATAAGAGGAACAATTGGATATCTCGCTCCAGGTAGCTCAAAATTTCTTTAAACAGTTCTGCTGAAATCTGAGATGGGCTCTAGGCCCATATTGCAATTTCTGAAAAATCTCTAAGGGCCCATGTGGGTTATATGGCACTAGGTGTGGTGGGAAGTTTAGTCCCACCCCGGAAGTGGAAGGAGAGTTGGAGTGGTTTATAAGGGTTTCTCTTCTACATGCTATTGGAGCTTGAGAAGAGAAGAGGCCCTCGCGCACTCCTCCTCCGCCGCCCGCCACGCCACGCCTCGTCACGCCGCGCCGCGCCGCGCCGCGGGTTGCGGGATTGAGCCGAGCCGAGCTCACACCTACGCGCTTATTTTTGCCAGTCACTAACGGAGAGTTTTCTGATGTGGGCTTCTCTCCACGCGGCTGCGCCTATAAGTATGCGGTGTCTCCTAACCCTAGCCGCCACGAACAGATCACATCTGCTCACGCGCACGCCCACCGTCGTTCCTTTGCTGCTGCTGCCGCCGGTGACTCCATCCCGTCCGCCACGTACACGGTCGACGGGAGAGCAGGTCTCCGAAACCACGCCCTTCTGGTTCCTGTACGGGGTGAGGGGCGAATAGGTTTTTGGGCAGCGATTACGCGACTGCTCGCTTCCGATCGTCTACTTCCTCCACGTCCGCGTCGCCTTCGTCATCACCATGTCCACCGACGCCGACCGTGCCGCCGCCGAGAAAGCTGAAGCCGACAAGAAGGTCGCTGAGGACGCCGCTGCTGCCACCAAAGCCGCGGCCTCTGCGTGGCCTACTGGAGGGTATAACTCGTTTATCCCGCTCCTGATTATTTTCATATTAGCAGTACTAGCAGTATGTGTAGATTTGTCTACTGTTTGCTTAGTACGTGCATGTTTAGATCAGAGTCAGTACGTCATCGACTTAGTCAATGCCATGCTAGTGATTTACTCATGGATTAATTTAATCGAGAAATTGCCTACTTACTCAACAATCCAAAAACCTATTATGTGTAGGAATTTCTCGGCAAGTGGCTTTGCCGCTGCACTGAAACCGGATAAGTTTACTGGTACATACTTCAAGCGTTGGCAGACTAAGACCACGTTATGGCTCACGGCTATGAACGTGTTCTGGGTCACCGGTGTCTCCACGGGAACGATTGCTCCTGAACAGGAGAAGGCGTTCAAGGAGGCTACCGTTGTGTTTCTCGGAGCAGTTCTTAGCGTGATCGGAGATAAACTGGTCGACGCATATTTACATGTGCATGTCGCCAAGGACTTGTGGGAGGCGCTCGAATCTAAATTCGGGGCCGCCGATGCAGGGAGCGAGATGTATATTATAGAGCAGTTCCACGATTACAAGATGGTTGAAAACCGTCCTGTATTGGAGCAGGCTCATGAGATAATATGCATTGTTAAGGAACTTGAGCTTCTCAAGTGCGAGTTACCGGGCAAGTTTGTCGCGGGCTGCATAATCGCTAAGCTCCCTAATTCCTGGAGGAACTTTGCCATCACTCTGAAACATCAGAGGCGTGAATTCTCTGTGGAGGATGTCATTGGCCATCTGAGTGTTGAGCAGAATTCGAGGGCAAAAGACTCGCACGGAAAAGGGGCCGAAGGGACTTCTGTTGCCAACATGGTGAACCAGAAGAACTTCAACTCCCACAAGCCCAAGGGAAAGAACGGTGTCCAACACAATACCGACTTTAAGAAGAAGGGTAAGAAGACCTTCAAGAAGAACAAGAAGGACGAGGGCTGCTTTACTTGTGGTTCGGTTGAACATTGGGCCAACAAGTGCCCAAACAAGTACAAGAAGTCAGGACAGGACTCCAAGTCTGTCAACATGATTGTGGGCAACAATGAGAATGGTGCATCTGGGTACGGTAATTTATTTACTGTTTTTTCAGTGTTTCAGCCCAACGATTGGTGGCTGGACACAGGTGCAGGTGTTCATGTGTGTGCTGACATTTCATTGTTCACTTCTTACCAGGTCACAGGTCACGGGTCCGTATTGATGGGGAATGGCGCGAGTGCTTCTGTTCATGGTGTTGGCACGGTCGATCTAAAGTTTACTTCGGGAAGGATCGTGCAGCTGAAGAACGTGCAGCATGTCCCCGCCATCAAGAAGAACCTCGTTAGTGGCTCCCTTCTATGTAGAGAAGGGTTTAAGTTGGTTTTCGAGTCTAATAAATTAGTTGTTACAAAATATGGACTTTTTGTTGGAAAAGGTTATGAGAGTGGAGGGATGTTCCGCCTTTCCCTCGCAGATTTTTGTAATAAAGTCGTGAACCATATTCATTCGAATGTTAATGAATCTGAAGTTTGGCATTCACGTCTTTGTCACATTAGTTTTGGTGTTATGACGCGGCTAGCCAAGTTGGATTTAATCCCGAGTTTCACTTTAGCCAAAGGTTCTAAGTGCCTTTCATGTGTGCAAGCTAAGCAACCTCGCAAGCCTCATAAGGCCGCGGAGGAGAGACACCTGGCACCATTAGAACTCATACATTCTGATCTTTGCGAGATGAATGGTGTGTTGACTAAAGGTGGAAAGAGATACTTCATGACATTGATAGATGATTCCACTAGATATTGCTATGTGTATCTGTTAAATACTAAAGATGAGGCTCTTCACTACTTTAAAATCTATAAGGCAGAAGTTGAAAATCAACTTGAAAAGAAAATTAAACGAGTCCGGTCAGATCGTGGTGGAGAGTACTTCTCGAGTGAGTTTGATTCCTTCTGTGCGGAACACGGCATTATTCATGAGAGGACGCCTCCCTATTCACCCCAGTCAAACGGGGTTGCCGAGCGGAAAAACCGTACTCTAACTGATTTGGTTAACGCCATGTTAGATACATCGGGTTTATCCAAGGCATGGTGGGGGGAGGCTATATTGACGGCATGTCATGTCCTGAATAAAGTTCCGACAAAGGATAGTGAGATCACTCCCTATGAGAAATGGGCAAAGAGAAGGACGACACTCTCGTACTTGCGCACTTGGGGCTGTTTGGCGAAAGTCAACGTGCCGATCCCCAAAAAGCGTAAGCTTGGACATAAGACCGTGGACTGCATTAATTTGGGCTATGCTAAGAACAGCGTTGGCTATAGATTTCTAGTAGTGAAATCTGAGGTACCTGACCAGAAGATCGGTACAATTATGGAGTCTAAGGATGCTACATTCTTTGAGGATATTTTTCCTATGAGAGATATGCAAAGCACTTCTAGACAGGAATCTGAGGAGACTCCTGAACCTGCCATCCCTATGGAATATTATGAACAAACACATGATGAAAATCCCGAGGAGGATGACGAGGAAACCCTTGGTAGGGGCAAGAGACAAAGGACTGCAAAGACCTTTGGTGATGATTTCTTCGTGTACCTCGTGGATGATACTCCCACTTCTATTTCAGAAGCGTATGCCTCTCCAGAAGCTGACTACTGGAAGGATGCGGTCCGTAGCGAGATGGATTCCATCATGGCTAACGGGACATGGGAGATCACTGACCGTCCCTATGGTTGCAAACCACTGGGATGTAAGTGGGTGTTCAAAAAGAAGCTTAGGCCCGATGGTACGATTGAAAAGTACAAGGCTAGGCTTGTGGCCAAGGGCTATGATCAGCAAGAAGAGGAAGATTTCTTTGATACTTATTCACCTGTGGCTAGACTGACCACCATTCGAGTATTACTCTCGTTGGCGGCCTCACATGGTCTTCTCGTCCATCAGATGGATGTTAAGACGGCTTTTCTAAATGGACAGCTAAAGGAGGAAATCTACATGCAACAGCCTGATGGCTTTGTGATAGATGGTCAGGAAAGAAAGGTGTGTAGGTTGATAAAATCTTTATATGGCCTGAAACAAGCACCTAAGCAATGGCATGATAAGTTTAATACAACTCTGACATCTGTTGGTTTCGTTGTTAATGAGGCTGACAAATGTGTATACTATCGCCATGGTGGGGGCGAAGGAGTTATACTGTGCTTGTATGTTGATGACATACTGATATTCGGAACAAACCTCAAAGTCATTGAGGAGGTCAAATCGTTTCTATCTCAGAACTTTGAGATGAAAGACCTTGGTGTGGCTGATGTTATCTTGAACATCAAGCTACTGAGAGATAATGAGGGTGGGATCACACTTCTGCAATCCCATTACATTGAGAAGGTGTTGAGTCGTTTTGGATATTCGGACTGCACACCATCTCAAACACCATATGATCCTAGCGTATTGATTCGAAAGTCCAAAGGCATGGCTAAAGATCAATTGAGATACTCTCAAATCATTGGTTCACTGATGTACCTAGCGAGCGCAATGAGGCCTGACATCGCGTTTGCTGTGAGCAAACTGAGCCGGTTTGTTTCCAAACCGGGTGATGTACATTGGCATGCTGTTGAGAGAGTTATGCGCTATCTGAAAGGTACTATGAACTATGGACTTCACTATACCGGATACCCGTCGGTACTTGAAGGGTATAGTGATGCGAATTGGATCTCTGATGCTGATGAGATGAAGGCCACAACTGGGTATATGTTTACTCTTGGAGGTGGCGCTGTTTCCTGGAAGTCTTGCAAGCAAACGATCTTAACGAGATCGACAATGGAAGCAGAATTAACGGCATTAGACACATCTGGTGTTGAAGCGAGATGGCTTCGAGATCTTTTGATGGACTTGCCATTGGTTGATAAACCGGTTCCGGCTATCCTTATGAACTGTGACAATCAGACTGTCATCACCAAGGTGAAGAGTTCAAAGGACAACATGAAGTCCACCAAACACATAAGAATGAGATTAAAAGCTGTCAGAAAATTAAGAAACTCCGGAGTGATAGTGTTGGACTATGTCCATACGGCTAAGAATCTGGCAGATCCCTTTACAAAAGGGCTATCACGTGTTGTGATAGACAATGCATCGAGGGAGATTGGTATGAGACCCACATGAGTTGCCATGGTGGTAACCCAACCTATATGATCGGAGATCCCGTGAACTAGGACCTGGGAAAACAAGCCAGTGGTGAACTGAGGAGAGTAACTATACTAACCCACTCCGTTGGAGATGCAATACTCTCGATACTGTATGGTAGGATGACTACGGTCTCAATGTGTTCCAAAGCTTATAAAAGCAAGATGCTATCCTACAGAGCGATCTTTGGAGGAACACACCTATATGAGCCCGACTGCTGGTCACAGTCTATGAGATTGGGGTGATCTCTAGTAAGCTCATGAATAGGCCGGGAGTGTGACTTATATGCTCCACCCGAGGGGTCAGCCTTCGGCAGCCTAGTACTAGTAAGACATGTAGTGAAACTTCTTTACGCCAAACTGACAATTCAAGGCATAGTCCATTGTTCAGTTGTGAAGGAGTGTAGCCACTTGTTCTAGGTGAAGTTCAACCTTAACAGGTCTTTACTGAAACACTGGTATATCGAAACAGCAATTGGAACAGAGGACACAATGGGCCCTCGAGATCTGGTGGGGGATTGCTGAAATCTGAGATGGGCTCTAGGCCCATATTGCAATTTCTGAAAAATCTCTAAGGGCCCATGTGGGTTATATGGCACTAGGTGTGGTGGGAAGTTTAGTCCCACCCCGGAAGTGGAAGGAGAGTTGGAGTGGTTTATAAGGGTTTCTCTTCTACATGCTATTGGAGCTTGAGAAGAGAAGAGGCCCTCGCGCACTCCTCCTCCGCCGCCCGCCTCGCCACGCCACGCCACGCCTCGTCACGACGCGCCGCGGGTTGCGGGATTGCGGGATTGAGCCGAGCCGAGCTCACACCTACGCGCTTATTTTTGCCAGTCACTAATGAAGAGTTTTCTGACAGCTGGGCCACGATCTGAGACGTCGGATCGTGGGCTGTCACGGACTCGGACGTGGGTCGAGCCCACGTCTCTCCACGCGGCTGCGCCTATAAGTATGCGGTGTCTCCTAACCCTAGCCGCCACGAACAGATCACATCTGCTCACGCGCACGCCCACCGTCGTTCCTTTGCTGCTGCTGCCGCCGGTGACTCCATCCCGTCCGCCACGTACACGGTCGACGGGAGAGCAGGTCTCCGAAACCACGCCCTTCTGGTTCCTGTACGGGGTGAGGGGCGAATAGGTTTTTGGGCAGCGATTACGCGACTGCTCGCTTCCGATCGTCTACTTCCTCCACGTCCGCGTCGCCTTCGTCATCACCATGTCCACCGACGCCGACCGTGCCGCCGCCGAGAAAGCTGAAGCCGACAAGAAGGTCGCTGAGGACGCCGCTGCTGCCACCAAAGCCGCGGCCTCTGCGTGGCCTACTGGAGGGTATAACTCGTTTATCCCGCTCCTGATTATTTTCATATTAGCAGTACTAGCAGTATGTGTAGATTTGTCTACTGTTTGCTTAGTACGTGCATGTTTAGATCAGAGTCAGTACGTCATCGACTTAGTCAATGCCATGCTAGTGATTTACTCATGGATTAATTTAATCGAGAAATTGCCTATTTACTCAACAAGTTCTACTCTCATAACAGAAATTTTGAATGTCAAATCATGCTGTTTTGTGTATGCAATGTAGAATATGGCGAAGGCAGTCAAGTTTCTCCATCTGGAGATGTATACAGCTTTGGAAGTGTCATCCTCGAGTTGTTTACAGGCATGGCACCTACTCATGACATGTTCAGAGATGGGTTGACCTTGCAAAAACATGCCGAGAATGCATTTCCAGATAAGTTAATGGAGATTGTTGATCCTGTCTTACCATCCATTGAAGAAAAATCTGGGAGTAGTTTGCAGAATCAAAGCAACAGAATGGAGGATATCTGCAACACCATGTTCTCTATCATAGAAGTTGCGCTATCGTGCTGCAAGCAAGCACCAACAGAGAGGATGTGCACGAGAGATGCAGCAGCTGGGATGCGCAAGATAAGGGATAGCCATGTTAAAAAGAATACAAGATTAGCAAGTCATAGTTAGCTGCGTAGATACATACTTATGTAAACCATGCATTAAGATAGCCAATGGTTGGCAATACACCATTTTAGCTCCAAAGAATAATATTGTTGGTTTATATAGGACAAAACCTATTTACACGCCTACGAATTCCAGACATGGGAGCAAGAACGAACTGTAGTGCAACATATGGAATTTCTGGAAGTATATGTAAAGTATTGTTGTGCTAAATCAGGAATACTAGTAAGATGCCCGTGCTGCGCCACGGAATTACAAGAGATCTCGCGGAACATTGTTTACTCAAGGGTCAGCAGCCTAGTGAACAATAAAAGATGTACCAAGATCTTGATCAAAGTGATGTTATATCATTGATAGGTACACATTGAGCAAAATCAAACACATGGTTTCCAACTAATATACCCCCTTGTCCAAGCCAAACATTTTCTTCCACATTTTCAACTTGCAGAAGATTTGTCACAGTTTTCTCATTGCTCTCCCATATTAAGGGGACACACAAAAAAATGTGACAAATAGAAAATCTATCCATAAACATTTGGCAATTGCACCAGACAACTTTGATTTTATTGACATGAGTGAATAATGTAGAAAACACCGAAAAGGCAGAGGAGAAACACACAGAATGCCCGAGGACCACCAAGCTAGATTACTATTACTGAATGATGTGTCGTGCGCCGGTATTCTTCCAACATTGGCTTCGTCAATGGCAAGCTAACAACTCTAATTTATGAAAAATGCAGCGACTGCGCTCACGCCAAATCTCTCAAATCACTGGCACGGCCATCGATCTTCAGTACGTATTATCATGTACAACCTTAGAGCAACTACTGCAACGGAACTGTTTCTTTCCTTGGAACAGCTCTAGAAAACAAAACAAGCTATTATGTTACCTTTTATCCAAGGATTCAGCTCACTTTGTGCCAGTATATTAGGCAAACCAGACTTAAATGTGAAGGTAAATGGCAGCAATTAATATATCCAAATGACAAACATATTATATAGCCTGAGCACAAACTTATAAATGGTTCCAGAACAAAGAAACAAGATTGAAGTACAAGTGTTTGACTGAATACCTAAGCTCTCGCTTCATCTATGTTCTCACCTAAAAGAACATCAGACAACCAGTACTTCATCTTCTCACCAAAAAGCACATCGGACAATCAATACATCATATATATAGTCTCCTGTAGTATATTTAGACAGGCAAAACAAGGAGCATGTAGAGGTCTGTAGTATAATCAGGCAAAGGAAAAAAAACAATGGACAACAGTTGCAGAACATTGTACGGAGCAAAGAACCAAAATGTCAAGTAAAAAATGATTTTGAAACATATGTATATAGAAGGGATGAGTTCACATGTACGGACATACATAAATATCAGTACTGGACTACTTGTAACTTCTTACATCAACCAGGTTTCTGCAAATAAAAATGCCGATAACAGACAACATGGAAACAAATATCCAGGGTGCGGCCTGAAAAATTGGACTGGAGCTACCAAGCAAAGGACAGGTGCTGATGACAAAGTGACCTGTTGTAGGCATCATCTGTTTTTTTCTGAACAGAAAGAGTAACAAAGGCAACTACTAAAAAACAATTCAAAGACACATGGATTTTATAGGCACACGGTTTCGATTTATGATTTACCTTTCGAGCTTTCTCCTTGCTCCAAGCAATTAACGGATGTGAGCATACCACTAAATGAGTTGCGACTCAGATCTGAAATTGCACATATGATAAATCTTATCATCATCTGGTAAGCAATACGGATAAAAAAATGATATGCATAGGTGTGGTAACCAAAAAGTACAAATCCAAAAAGTACAAGAGCCTATCATAACAAGCAGGACCCATATTACGATTCATAACTTGCAGCCGATGGTGGGAAAACAAAATACATTCACAGCAAAAATGCCCAGAATGATGAAGTATGAAGCATGCTGCACTTATAAATCTAAAAGTATTATTCAACGCTTGTGATTCCTTTTAATACTTAAAGTTTTATTTCACAAGTGGTGACGGGCACAGAAGACAGTTCTCTATGTTACCACTAACGCTTTAATCTCTGCGTTTGCACAAGTAAGGAGGAGGGGGGAGGTTGTGGAGATAGTGGGCGATGGAACTCTGCTGCAGTTGAGGACGAAGCAGGAGAAGCGTTGGTGGCCGAATGACATCGGTGGCGTGCTTGCCGATGCCTGCGTCGAAGGAGACTGTGAAGGCAGCGGAGAAGATGTCGAAGAGGAGGAGATCGTGGTTTCTGTGGTGGGTGGGGCTGAGGGAGGCATCAAAGGCGCTGGGGGGAAAGAACGG